TTCGTTGTTTAACTTTCATTATTTAATCTTCGTTATTTGATATTTATTATTAGTAATTATATATTTTGTTATATTGATAATATTTTTATATAAACTACTAAAATTAATTACGGAGTTTTTATTTATTTGTAGTATTGTGATATTAATTTAAATTATCATCATAATTACTACATTCTTAAACAAGGAGCCCAATAGTGTGCGACAAAGACATACATATGTTTGCGACAGACAAGGAGAATGATAGTATGTGACAAAGACAATAATACAGATTAGTTCTACCTTTTCATCGCTACGTGGCGATGGTGTTTAGTATCCATGAATCGATTCAAATTTTCATTTACGAAAAAAAACTGATCAATCGGATTAATTTATGATTTTTCGCAAACTCTAACTTTCCTTCTTTGAAAAAAATTACATATTTGTATTGCATATAACTGTGATGAGATTACAGTAGCGTTATGTATTTTTCAGTCTAATAATAAAATTAATCCCGAAAATAACTGGCCGTTTGTAATATTGTATTAAATAATGGTTAAATACTTAATGAAAATAATATAATAATATAATAACATAATAATAATTATAATATATAATAATATAATATAATATAATAATATAATAATAATAATATAATAATAATTTAATTTATATCAAAATGAAATAGTAATCGCGAAAAAGATTTATCTTCCACGAACAAACAGAATTCCAATTAGAGAGACTCTTCTTTGCAAGTTGCAATTTATCATTCCAGATTTTTGGATAAGTACTTTTATCTTTAACTTACTTCTGGCCTACCGCGTTTCATAAGAATCCAATTACAATCAAGTTGGTGATCTGCTTGTATATGATATCTCCCATCAGTCCAGAATACGGCCTTATCCCAAGTGATGAGAGCCTCTCCTGCACTGCCGTAGAATCCAGTGATAAATTCTCTTCTCATATCACGGGGATCCAGGGAATCGCTCTAATCAATACAGAGACAGTGATACACATAATTATATGCATTTGTGATTGCGTTGTATCAAAACCGTTTCAGTAAGCTTACATACGTATTATTAATTTTATATTTAAGGGACAGGCAGCACTCATTATTCGTGAAAAACACTGCGATTATCACAGATTATTAAATGTTAACGTTAAATAAAATTAAATTAAATGAAGCTTACAAGATAGAGATAAGATACTAAGAATTTGGATCTTTATATAAATGTTCATTTTAATCTAAAAAGAATTGGGATTGGAATTAGGGGAAGCTTTGAAATTCTGCAAACTCGAAATCTCACGCAATTATTATATACCTCCAAAGGACCCTTGCGATCATAATAAACCAAGTTCATTGTCTGAAAATTTAAGGACATCGAGAGAGAATAATCGTAATAATCTTAATCTCTTACTGAAAATAAATTAAAAAATTTTTCCAACGTGTTCAAAGTGTTTTTAAAATAATTATAAAAATAATCTTTTGATAATTCATAGACGCAATATTAAGACAAATATTGAAACCTAATTTTTCATTTATTACTATGCGATTGTAATTACCTGATGCGCGTCGTCGGAAGTGACGATGTATCCATCAAGAGGTGGTACTTGTATAGAAGCAACTCTAGTCATTACTGATCTTAATTGTTTCAATCTTAATGTAGTATTCTGTCTATCGGCTGGTTGTTTGTGTGCTGTTGCTGGACAGTGGTATCTTTTTGCTCCATTATAATTCAGGAGTGGCTCGACGACTTCGTTTTGAAAATAGTATGCCTCTACCAGCCCTGCTGAAAACGACGATCTTTGTTAAAGTGAATTTTCATTTAAATTGATCAGAGATGTTTCCCTTATTATATGTTAAGATAATATACATAATATTAAATAGTATATTAAATTGTATGTTATATTTGTACACTGTACTTTTTATGTTAAGAATGTAAAAGATTTATTAGTGAATATGTATCCAACAATTTATGAAATTTGCAGGGTACGAAATATTTTTTATACTTTCAAATAGAAAATTAAAAAAAAAAATACTGAGTGGAAAATTCGTTGGAGGCGCCGGGTATCGATCCCGGTACCTCTCGCATGCTAAGCGAGCGCTCTACCATCTGAGCTACGCCCCCCGGTGAAGAACAAGTTCTTAAGGTTCAAGAAATATCTAGTTTACAACTATATAAATAAAATAATTTTTGCATCAACAATTTTATTTTTAAAACAATCGTCCATCGATAATATTCTGAATATAAAGAAGAATTGTTGACAATGAAATCTATTAAAGACATAATTATTATTATTATTACGCAACTTTAAATAAATTAATCTATTAAAGACATAATTATTATTATTATTACGCAACTTTAAATAAATTAAATTAAAAATAATTCTTAGAAATTTAATAAAAAATATCTTAAATTATACTACAGTAGACTGAGAAGATTAATTTTCGGAATGTTTGCTGATTTTTACACTTGCACACAAACAAAATTTACCGATTAACATAATGATTAACATAAGCGGAATGTGTATCGTTGAGGAAAAGATTGCCGCTTCAGATAATATATCTATATTTTCTCGAAGAAAGACGAGAAACGAGAAAGAAAGAGAAAAAAAGAGTGAAAAGTCGAGAATTAAATAAAAAAATAAATAAAATCGAGTGACTTTTATACACGTGATTAATTCAAAATAGAATGATCTATCCGACTATATGTAAATTGGATAATTTATGAAAAATCCAGAATATAATTAATTTAATTTAATAAACCAGAGATTGACTTATTTTAAATTTCCAGTCTCGATTATTAGCATGCATAATTTAAAACTCGTATGTTCAGTCCTATTCAAATTAATTAATGAGATTAACTTCTTCCTTATATAAATTTATAATCTTAAGTAATTACAATTTGTCATGTATACGCTCTTAACAATTTTTTAATTCTCCATATTTCACTTTATCCATGTCAGGTTCATTTTTAACTGGCTACAATGATTGTATTATGACAAATGTTATAAAAATTTTTTTTAAATATTTTGAATAATCATACTGCAATATCTTTGCATTTCGTATAATTATTCTCCATTTTGTTCTGAAACAATATTATAAGGTGCAATCCACGTTTCTGCAATTGTTTTCAAATTTTCTTCGCATCCTAAATATCAATTGTAACTAAGAACCATCGACACGCGCTGTGTAAAAATAGAGAAGAATGCTCGTGAAACGACACACGCATATCCTGTGGGAATCCAGAGGGTGTGCTGAGTGGTGTTTGTCCAGCAGGCAAACATCTAACCCGAGGAGGTTGTCCATTCCGAAATCCACGGTTTCGATCGGTTTCAACATCGTCTCTCATCATATTTTACGTTAATAATATTTCAGTCTCACCTCGTTTCTCCATACATCACTCGCAGACAATTCCTCGCGAATTGTTCAATCCAGCCTAATTATTTCGTTACATCGTATCATTAATACGTGGAACAGTGGAAATAGAGGCGGTTATATTTTATATTCGGAGAAAATCGATAGAACGCGAGACGTTGGAGAACCAAGGGGAAACTGTTTGCCGAGATTGTATCGTGTGCAAGGGGTAACCGGGTTACCAAATTGTTTAATTTAATAATTTAACGTAAATATCAAGTAATATTAAATATGTTACTAGGGTAGTAGAAGCGCGTGGTAGGTGAGTTTTACCCCGTTGTAACTTTACAATTTTCACCCCCGCGAGTTTTCCATCTCGCGCGCCGACGAGTAAACGCCCGCGCGTTATCAAACTTTTCCCTTGTATTTTCGATTACAGAACGGAGAACATTCTTATCTTACGGTTTGTCTCTCCATGTTTTTTTTTTTTTCGTCTTAAGGCCAATCTTAGACGAAATTATAAGACGCCTATCGCGTACGTGTTGATCGAATCGTAATCGTATGAGGATTTATCTGAGGACGTAGTAGTTATATTATGAATCTGAGCATTAAGGATTTGTATTTGACGAAATTACGAATGTTAAAATACTTTGATACGAATCTCATCTTTTTATAACATTACACTATTGGATAATGAAACGTTTCGATAGCATGTCATGTTATCTAATTTTTTTAATTAAATATTTATTATCAATGTATTGTGGCAGTTATTACGATTTTGATGTTTCGCGGTTTATGACGATTGACGTTCAATCAATTTTAAAAAAATATTCCGCTTCAAAATAAAATAATTACCAAACGTTGCAGATTTGCGATTATGAAAGATCTCGACGTATCACGTGTGGAAGATCGTGAGAGAAGACTCGGGAATATTATATAATTTTCGCGAAGCGTTCCTCCTAATGCCAGCTTCTGGAGCTACGCAAGCGTATCTAATTGCGAAATCCTCCACAATATAATGGCAATTCGGTTGAAAACAAATATTTAGCCAGCGCACGGACTCGTTCATTTTCCACGATAATTCCGGAAGCGTTTACGCTTCGGTCACAATAGAGGATGACTTGTCAGCGATCAGAAATAAATTCAGGATATCCGATGTTTTAGCTATACGAAAAATCATCGTCGTGGCTATTGTAATGATTGACGTACAGGGGAAAAAATATATGTAGTCGCGAAAAATCACGATTACGATTTCCATGGTTGCGCAACCATTAGTTTTCCGCGTGTGTCCTGCCTTTTTTTCAGTTGATACCTCGTATTCTCCGCAGAAATTTTCCAGGTATATAAGAGCTATATGTTACGCGTGCCGGCCACAAGTTCAAAATGTGGCTATACAGGTTCGTGCTTTATGGTCTCGTGCTTGTTTCGGCATGTGCTGACCAGGATGTGCAACTGGAGATTCCTCAGGGGATCCTGAAGGGATTGAAGACTGAAACTATTCTGCACAACAAGCCGTATTATAGTTTTAAGGGCATTCCCTACGCGAAACCGAATGTCGGCGCCGACAAATTTCGGGTAAGCGGAGATAATATTCGCGCAACTTCTTGTAATGGACGTTACTGTGCTTGCAGACATCCAGCAGCGTTTCGTTTCAGCTTTAATGACATTTGTTATTTCACAGAGTCATCGTTTGACGAAACAAAATTTAAATTTCTTTAAAATTAAAGAGTCTAGGAATTTCAATTGCAATTTGATAATACGTAATATTTTTAATATTCAACGAACGAGTAGCTATGTAAATGTTACAGAACGAATGAAAGTAAAGTGCCAAGTTGAAATTTGACATTTATGCCCGTAGTTTTAGGATCTGTAATGTGTAATTTACGCGTAATTGCAATTTTGCAATCTATAATCTATTTATGCAACAATATTTATATTCAACCTTCGAATTTAGAAAATTCAGAACATCTTTCGTGCGAAACACTAGAATTTGTAAAATATCTTCCAGCCACCGGAACCAGCCGACCCGTGGGAAGGTGTGTACGACGCGACGAAACATCGTTCCCCGTGTCCGTTTTATTGCATGATCAAAAAGGGTCTGATCGGTGAAGAAGATTGTCTTTATCTGAACGTTTACACGCCAGTTTTGGACAAGGAAGCTGGTAAGGCTGTTATGATATGGATATTCCCTGGTGGCTGGAACAGTGGCATGAGCGACGACGCTCTATTTGGACCAGATTTTCTGGTGGAGGACGATGTGGTGATTGTTACTTTCAACTTCAGGCTTGGAGCGCTTGGTAAATATAAGAAATTTCGTCGAAAATGCTTCATGACTTTCTTTTTGCAATAAATTCACAGTGTGGACGATATTTTGAACTTAGCTACTCTCCATTCTAGGATTCTTGAATACCCAAGATAAAAACGCTCCTGGAAATGCTGGGATGAAGGATCAAGTTATGGCGTTGAAATGGGTGAAGGATAATATACATTTCTTTGGCGGTTGTCCGAACAGAGTTACCATTTTTGGCGCCAGCTCTGGTGGTGCTTCTGTTCAGTACCATATGTTATCTCCCATGTCCGAAGGTAATGCAAATTCTTGACACGTAACATTACAGTATAAAACTTTTCTTCTTCGCATGTGTAATTTATTTAGTGATGGAAGCTGGTAGTAAAAATAAATTTTAATTATAATGTCGTAGGTTTATTCAGCGGAGTTATACAACAGAGTGGAACGATACTCAATCCGTGGGCGATAACTTATAATCCAAGAGAACAGGCCTTTATGTTGGGAGAGGCTCTTGGCATAAAAACGACAGATTCCGGAGAATTAGTTAAAAAATTGAGCGAGTTCCATGCCGAAAACATCATTGCAGCCACTAACGAAATAACGAAACACCAGGTGAAGTATCTGGTTAATGACAACGTTGAAATCCTCATTTCATTTTTCCTTCTATCGTCTTGCAATTTAGTAATTTTGTTCGAACAAACGTATTATTTCCTGTATTCGAAAACGAAAGACAAGAAACATTTGTTTAGACGTGGTAATTTAATAACGATTTCTTTCTAAGACAAAAAGAGTTTTAGATAGAGATAAAAAATGTTTAATTATCGTGTAATTATAGAATACGTTAAACGGACACATGCATATATTCGTTCCGTCCATCGAAGTCGACATGGGACAAGACATGTTCCTTCCAACAGATCCTTGGACCCTGTTAAAGTCTGGAAGGATCATGGACGTGCCTTTAATGTCTGGAATTGTCGTCGATGAATGCCTATTTATGGCGCAAGGTATGTAACATCCAAATTACGTCAACTAATAAAATCCTAATAACAATAAGGGTAAAATATTAAAATAAGGTGTATACATATAAGTTACATATCTAATAATTTTACAATAAGGGTAAAATATTAAAATATAGTGTATACATATAAGTTACATATCTAATAAAAGTGATCTAAGAAGAAGTATCTTTATATATTTACGATAAAATGTAAATAATATTCACATTTTTATATTTTTACGTGCGTAACTAAAGAATCTAAGAAATTTGTTTTATCTTTTGAACACAATCATAAGCACGCAGATATTATATGAATTTTGCAGGTAGCATAGATGGAATCGAGATGTTGAATACAGAGCCAGAGATATTCCTGCCAAATGATATGAATATCACCGATATGAATTACATGAAGGAAGTTGGACAGTGTCTAAAGAAGTTCTACTTTGGTGACAACCAAGTGTCAAAGGACCACTTAAGCGAATACACCAAGGTAATGGCAAATTTCATCGACGAGATTCTTTCTTAATTATTACTTTTTAAACACATGCGTATTTCATAGATGTTGAACGACATATACTTTAACGCTGGGGAGTTTTTGTCTCTCGATATCATGAGGAATCGAATTTCGTCTCCAATTTATGAGTATCTATTCTCTTACGAAGGACCAATTGGTTTCATGAAGAATCTCTTTGGTATTACCAATGGTAATGTACTTTCTCCCAGTTAACTATAAAACGTACTATCATCTTCTTTCATAATATTTAATAATTAATGATATTAATTTATTGTTTGACGCAGGTGTTGCACATGGCGATGAGATAAGTTACTTATTTTATTCCAATGCCTTTAAGAATTTACCAGAGCCAGGTTCCTCGGCAGAAAAAATGACAAATATCATAACCAAACTGTGGACGAATTTCGCGAAAGATAGGTTCGTAATATTTTTCTGTATTAATATTTCTAATTCAATTATATTTTTAACAATTACTAGTAAGATGTGTGTTTTATGTCAAATATTAGAGATCCAACCTCGATATTAGATGGAGATATCACGGTGAAATGGGAACCGATGGGCAGTGACAATAATTATCTTAACATTAATCAAGAATTAAAAATGGAAAAAGATCTAATGAAAGATCACCACGATTATTGGAAGATGAAATATAAAGATGCTATGCCATGATCATAACTTTGATCTATGTACATTATGTATGAGTAGATAGATATCACTTTTAATGTTCTGCTCAATATAATTATAGTCATAGATATAATGACAATATTAATTATAATTTAATCTAGAATATAACACATAACATAATGTCTATCTAATCTATTTTCTTTCAAGCTCCACCACATTACTCTCTTTATCATTAGAAATCTCTTCATTTTGACAATTGCTTTGGAACACTGTTCATATTTTTGTCCTTTGTAAATCATTTTGTTTTACAACAAATTGTAATCTGATGTTTTTAAAATAAATCAATCTTTCCAAAAATTAGTAAAAATCAGTACTAATTTGTTCACGATCTAATACGATGAAACTATGTACGATCGACTTAAAAAAAATGTAAAAATTATTTAAAATTAGGTGATTGATGCGTCCGTAGAAGTAATCGAGAATTTCAGTAGAAGTCGTGAAGAATCGTGCAGAGAAATAAACGAAAACTCGCAAGAGCCGTGCCATTGAAATATGTATGTACGTACGTATCTCTATATGTTCCGAAACGTACGCTTCAACACAGCTTTAAACTCGCTATGCTAATCCAGGAAAGCCTCACCAACACGTTTAAATATCTCCAGGCCATATTATCAAACTACGCTTTCCTACTTTCCATTCACTGAACACAACCATTCTGTGTTCTTCTCGTCTCGCCTCGTTCTTGGCTATTGGTTCACCACTCGTATTGCTGTCCTGTGACTACCAGGGTCACATGTGCTGTAGTAGGAACGTTCGTTCCTTTATTTGACCGGCGTTCACGAATCAATCGCCTGGCTAAACCCACGGCAGAGGCCATGGCACGAGGGCATTAAGTTAGCTTAAGAAACTCGAATATCGAGGCCAGTAGCAACTTAAAGATAATGTTATTTAAATTATCGAAATAAAACTCTTTCTGGTGGTGGCGTGAATTCCCGACAATGAAAAAATTATTCAATAATAATCGAAATTTTCGCAATTAGAAAACTGTAGGAGGATGACAATGGAAAGAGAAGGAGAGATAACGACGAAGGGAGAGATAACGACAATATGATCAACGCAAGGAAGATTATAAAAGAAAAGGGATGAAAAGGATGAAAAGAGAAAAGTGGAAATAATTAATAAGAGGAAGAAGCTGATGGAACGAAGGTGATGAAAGAGAACGATGGTAAAGAGGAAGAGGAGCTACAATGAAGGGAGAGAATGATAAATGGGAAGAGGAGTGATAATACGAAAGAGCAAGTTGAGATAGAAGAACGATAACGAGACAGAGGCGACACATCGTCGATAATAGGTGATGAAAAGAGAAAGAATGATAAACGAGGATTTATTTCTGTGAAATGACCGATGCTATTTCGCTTTCTTAGTCTACCACGTTGCCGTCGTTCGTCTACCATTTGTTCACCACTCACTTTTGTGCTTCGCTTGTGCCAGGAGCGCAGCAAAGCGAGGAGATCAAACACATCAGGCGAGGAGGTCAGACACATGTCGCGCGCGCGCGCGCACGTGTGTGTGTGTAGCGTAGCGTAAACGATCTCATTCATTCATGCGTCACGAGTTCACGAGTCATTGTTTTGGCGAAGAACGTGTGAAGCGAGAATCGATTACGATACTAACGAGGAACGTTGTGCGTCACTTAATGAGAATTATTTAGCAAGTTGATCTAACAATGTAACTTTGTTATTTAAATTTATCTAAATGCAAGAGGAAATGAATTTTATTATGTAAAACAATTATGTTTCCTTACAATGGTATAATTATATTATCTTTTCTTACAGTGGTGTAATTATATTATCTTTCTAAAGTTACAGACAATATCCATTTTAAATTTAAATTCGTATTAAAACAATTACTACGAGAATATCTTAAAATCGTTGCTCCATTGTCGATTAAATTCTATTTCAAATAACATTACTAATTAAATTGCATTAAAATACATAACATAGAGATCACATTAAGATGTAGAATTTCTCAGATACGTTACGTTTGATCACGAAAAAAATATAATTATTCGAAAAGTCAGGGTAACAATGAAGTTTCACTTGTTTCTGCAGTTGCGTTGATAATTTATACTACATGTTATCCGTCAGCATGTTATATTTTATGTTGCAAAGATCGGTTGATTTTCTAAGAAGAGTAGAGAGCCGAACGAGAATGAAACGTGTTGAGATACTTAAATTTACGCGCCGAGTCCTATCGCGAGAGTCATTCGATTTTATCGAGGGATGTAGAGCAATCGAATGACCTCGAGCCTGCGAGAACAGAGATGATCGAGATGCTGCGACGGTGGACCATTTCTCGAGATGATCTTCAACATCTCTTGATCCGGCTGTCATGCAGAGACAGCTGGTATTTATTTCATTTGGCACGATCTCTGGACCAGTTTGATTGCTCGAGTTATGCCACTTCTTCTTCTCTCTTCCTTCAGTCTCCCCTCGTTTCGCAATTGCGTTAAATGCGTGCTCTTAATTTTTACGGGGAACAAAGCTTGCCGCGATTTAAACAAATGAATCTTCACCTTTTCAGCGAGGAAACTTTTTAGTTTTCTTTAACAAAATTTACTTTCAAACAAGTTTCATTCAACACTTTTGTAATCTCTTTGTTTAAATTGCTTAATTATTTTCTTAATTATTCTTAAATTATATATTTCGCAAACACTTGTTGATGAATACAAGTTGATATTCTGTGCGTAATATTTTATAATTGAAGATACGACGTTCGGAATATTTAGAAAATGTAAAAAATATAGGAAATAAATGTTTACAATGATGGGTGCATGTTGACAATGTTCGTGGAATTTTCAAGTAGTATACAGTACAGAATCTAGGTCCGTCGAAGTCGCCTTTTTGTTTATCGCAAATAAACGCCATTCCTTTTTATCCTTCTGCAATTGCAAAGTAATTCATCTTTCGAAAGAAACATTCCACTCATACCGATGCATATACAATTGTGTAAAATCATACGAATTGAAGTTTCAATTCTCCGTCAATTTTAAAAATTGATGGTTTAACATATTGAACCATTTGATATTAAACAATTCATAATGAGAAGATTAACGAGCGTTATTTTTACGTTTTTTTACGCAGCGTTAAGTATGGCATCGTCAATGGAAGCCGTTTTCTTATTGAAGAAATAACTGTAAGCAAACTTATTAATGCGAACCGGACTAACTGATGGAATTAACCGGTATAAATAAACTGGAACATTAGAAAACGGGAAATGCAACAAAAAATGCGTTTTCCTTTCCATACCAGTAGAAATTCCTTAAGGTCGATGTTTCGTATTTGTTCGTCACTCACTTTCGTGTTTCCATCGTAATAGGATAGCATTTTAGTTAAAGAGGTTCACCGACAGTTATAGTAATTCAAGCTTCATATCTATCTGTATCTATGTATGTCTACGTACAGGCAATCTTTTCCTATCGTTGCACTTCAGGTTCTTGCATGGACAAATCACAATCCAATGAATTGTCCATTAATTTTCATATGAGGATGATGTTACTTGAAATTAATTCAACATCATCAACTGTTGATTAACAATTTTATTTTATAATTTGTGCATTGTTTGCAAGCGAACTTATTAATTACAAGTTCTTCTAGAACACAGCATAAAACGAAGGAATAAAGATAAATATTAAGAAGTTTCTCTCAACATATATTGTTTTGACTATTTCGTGAAAAATAAATTGTTAAGTTGACAATCGTAAATGACTAACAAAGAAGTGATTTATACGATTCTCTCCATTTAAAACAAATTGCCTAGTTGCTGCAAGGGAAGTTATTCCTTTTTTTTATGGAAGTATTTAATAAATTTAACAAAGCAACAAACTCGTATTCAAAGGGTTTTTATCAACGTACATTTTGCTCAAAAAAATATTTAACGAAAATCTTTAATGAAAAACCAATTTTCACGAAATAGCTAATGTAATTAATCACCACCTATTAATTGTAAAAAATTAATCATTGTAAGATAACAATAGACAAAGAAACTCGATTAAAAGAAGCAATCAGCGACTTACTCGATCGCTATGTCGAATTATCTATTAATTATCTCGCAGCATTAAAAGCCACTTAACACGCGCGGTCGGTTTCATTATAACGTACAATGTACAATACATATCTGCTTGCGCGTCGAGATGATCTTCAGCTTCTACGTATCAGGTATTTATAATGGAAAAGCCTCTAACATTTTATCTGACCTGACCACTTCTCTCGTCTCCTCTGGCTTCTTGTTCCGAATTTCGTGCATGCTACCTCTATCGACTCATTCGCTCTGCGGCCTCTTCGTGTTCGTTTCTCCTTTGCTCGAGCGTGTTATCGAGGCCTTCGAGGAAACGACGACCAATTTCATTCTACGCGCCGTTGTCTGCCGCGTTGTCTTATCACTTGTCCACAAGCTCGACGACAGACGAAAGAAGGAATGTTGGAATAGCGACTTATGTGCTGGAGAAAGTGTCGACGCGAAAAATCCTTCGATGTCCCTCTTCGTTCGACCATAGGAGGAACGTATGTATATATCGGCTTCGCGGTCAAACGGGCTTCGATTTGGGATGGCTCGAGGCTTTTTACAACAGGAGAACAGGAGGAGAAACGGGGTTGACTCTCGCGAGGGTTGTTTTTCTGCCGCGGTCTCCAATCTTTTATTATTTATTTCTTATCGGCCCCCCGAATTACTTCTTCGACCTTGCAATTATTTCCGAAGAATATTTCTTCGCGTGAGAGTTTCTTTCAGAAGCCACAAGCTTTGATCGAGTCTACTTCTTGCCAGTTTTTCTAATGCACGATTAACGTTCAGCTCTCGAGAAGTGAATTGCTTGTTTAGATAAGTATATCTTTCCTTTCATTGAGACGATTGGGATCTGTATATATTAATTTGCAGTACATTACGCATTGTACATTCTCAAATTATAATTTCTTTACAGATATATACTATGTATCTGATTAACATATTTCAAGCTTATCAACATTGAAGACGAAGTATTCCCTGTTCCGCAATGCAATAATTACCAAATAAGTATACAGAATGGATATTTATTTAAGACCAATTTCAGTTGTCAAGCCAATGAAAATTTACCATTACAATTTATTTATCAAGCTGTAAACAATTTAAAACCATCCCGAGATCAACGAACTGACGAAATTTTCTCTCAATTTCATGTTTCAATTTCATTCCAACAACATCGACAGTTTACCCATAGCCTTATGCGTCAGTATAATACCTAATCTTCCTCGTTACTAGTAAGTCTAAAATTACCTAAACAAATTGCAGAGTATAAAACAAGTATATATATACAT